TCACGAGCCGCAGGGTTTCATTTGGTTTTGTTTGTGTATGTTTTTTGACTCTCAAAGCCATGATTCCCATTCACCTCCATTATATGACTGATAGACTGCAACGGTTTGAGTTAAAAATCTTCGTTTGTGTTCTACTGAAGAAACAAAGTCACCTACATCTTGGATGCCCTGGGGGTAAGCAGATAAACATCAAATATTCATTTTTGGGTGAACTATCCCTTTAAACACACATTGCATTTTGCACTGCTGTAGACGGCGCTGCTGTGTTTTTCCTCATTGTTTGTTTTAACCATATTTAGAGAATGCACTTCTGCCCCAACATGCACAATAACCCTCTTTTTCGAGCCTCGATAGAGTGACTCACAGCAACAAAGCTGCTTTTAGTCACAGTTCCCCATAATTTTTTTAAGTTCATATGAAATCCTGTCTGTACGGCAAAACAAGCTCAGACAAACAGGACGGATCTCAGGTGAAGAACATGTAGTAGCATGTCTTTCAAGATTAGAAAACACTCATAAGGACTAAAATGAACAAAGGAGATGGTTGTTTTCAGATGCCAGAGCTTCTCCTGACAAAGCCGCACAAAACCCACCTCCTATTTCACTGCTAAAAATCATTTTCTTAATCAGTATTTTTGTATTTTTTAATAGTAAAAATGTGGAAAAATTCTTACAAAAACACTGATGAATTTAATTTTGTTTCTTAAGCAAATTTAATTCGTTTTAAAGAAATTTAGGTATTTTTACTGTAAAACATGTCATAACCATAGGTGGAGCGTGTGTAAGGCTGGGGAAGGCTTAGCCCTCCCCTGGCCATGGGTCGGAAATTAATGTGGGCTTGGGACAAGATGCCGCTGCACAGTCAGTTCAACTAAATCTATTACTGCTGTCATGAATAAAATTAATCTGTTCATGTTGCATCAATTCTTTTTACGCGTATTTTCAGCGTTGCACCTTATAACCAATCACACACGATTCCATTGTGTTTATGAATGCAGCGGCTAATCAGAAGCGTTCAGACGAGTCATCGCTGAAACACCAGAGTTTTGATTAGTGCATGCGCTCGCTGACTGAATTCTGCTCTCTCGCGAATTCTCTCATCATAAACAACAAAGTGCAGATGTGCGTATGATGCAAGGAAGAGATTCATCCATCAAACAGTGTATAGACAGCTTCACTGATTATAAGGGGATTTTTTTAGAGTGCTTAAATTCACGCTAGACTGAAGTCAGTCATAATGTTCTTTGATAATGTAAATGTTCTTTGCGTGTGTTCCCTGTATAATTTATTCGCTGTTTGAATAACCGACTGAAAGTATTATAATTAGTAACTTACAATGTTTTTATTAAATTATGACCAAGTTAAATACAAATCAAGTTGTATTAAAATGTCTTATTACATGACACCCATATCTGGTTCTTGCCTATAAAGATGGGTTTATGATGTGCGTTGTTAACAGATTACACCAACATTAGGCTACTTTTAGCCTTACCCTGGAGTAGGTTCACCCTTCACCTATGGTTATAACTATTGATAAAAAGTGTTTTGTAAGGTTAAAAGTGTGATAAATGCACATATGTGGCTCCAGAAAGGCACATACTGAGAGCTTATGACAAAACCTCATCAAATGGGGATTCCTCTGTGGTTTCTAGTAAGTTCGCCATTTAAGCGAACACTCGTTCCCTTTAATCGTATTAAACGGTTGTGGAGGAGGACAGAGCGCCATGTTTTCTGCAGATTTGTAAGAGCCCTTTTCATATATGCATTTATTACATGGCATAACGAACAGCAGCGGGTTGAGAGGGTTGGGTACCGCAGGGCCACAACTATTTTAAAAGAAGACCTTGAAAGATTTTAAATTGTGTAATGGACCATATAACGGCAGCACTGCTACAGATGGAACAGCAATCAGGCATAAACAATTAAAAAGAAATATAATTTGTGTAAATAAATCAATAAAGCTACAGTGAGTTAATGCAGTTATATAACATTACGGAATGTTACGGAGAGTTGTTAAGCAGCGAACAACCAATCGTAAATGAAGCAGTGTTCCCTCGCAAAACTTTTGAGCGTTTTGCAATCAAAAACAAAGTTTCTCACAGGATTATAAAGGTTTTGCAAGCGAGCACAGAGTTCCTTGTGGGAACAAAGTTTTGAGAGCAACTGCAAAGTTTCTCGGGAAACGCAAAGGTTTTGTGAGTGAACGCAAAGTTTCTCGGGAAACACAAAGGTTTTGTGAGTGAACGCAAAGTTTCTCGGGAAACGCAAAGGTTTTGTGAGCAAACAAAGTTTCTTGGGGTAATGTGAAGTTTTGAGAGCAAGCTTGGGGAACACAAACATTTTGAGTGAATGCAAAGTTTCTTTGGGGAACAAAGGTTTTGCAAGCAAACAAACTTTCTTGGGGGAACACAAAAGTTTTGCGGATGATCGCAAAGTTTCTCAGGGCAACTTTTTGGAGAGAATGCAGAAGCATTCAAATATATATATTTTTTCCTCCAATCTCATATTTTCCATCACCATGTCCCTTTAGGGACTCAGGGAGGCAGTTAAAAATAAACAACTATATGTAATTTTCTTTCGGACCAATTATGTGGCAGCATTTAAACAGATCCAGGACACAAGTTAAAACAGGATATTGATTATTAAATCAATGTTTCAATCTCATAAATATGCTAATAAGGTGGTTAATTGAGGGTTTACAAATGTACAGTGTGAAATCTTTTAAATCTGAGTTTATGTCCTAACCAGCCAGGGCCACATGTAGTATTTCTTTTTCTACACTTGGTAGCCCCGACCACTGTGAAATTGCATTGGTCCAGCATCCCACTTCTCATAATTGTACATTAAACAACATATTTTCTTACTGGCTGTGATTGTGTCACAAGCAGTTTTGCATTGAGTTTGTATATCCAAAATGCTTGTCGCTCAAAATGCGCATCATTTTTGTAAAGCTTGTAATTTTGATGTTTCTACATTTACACAGAAAATATCCATTTATGCACATGTGAAGTTAATATTTACAAGAAAGAAAGAAGGTACTTTTTCCAGTGGTGTGGTTTCTTTTCTGTTTTCAACAAAGAATTTCTCAAAAGAGGAGTTGTGCAACGGATTAATGTAACCTTTACCACCAAACATGCCACAGGACAACAAAGAAAGAATGTAGCATGCTTCTGAAACCCAGGCATCTGCTTTTATCTGCAGTTCGTTCAAGAAATAGCTGATGAGTATTGGGCTGTGAATCTTCATTATACTGTATAAAGTCTCCCAGACACATTCTCTGTATCTTCAAAAACAAAGCGATCTCATCTGGCCAAAAACGGATTTTCACACATGTGAGCAACTGCCGTTAAAGACAGTCACGCATCAAGTATGAGTTTCATGCTCTTTTACTCCAAGGCAACAGGCCACTCGTGCTGGTGGTTTGATTCAGATGCCAGGCAGTGTAAAGAGCGACCTTGTGCAAGATCATTATACAGGCCTGGAGGAAGCCTGTTGTGCAGGGAACAGACGACTCCTCCACTTTGGCCCTATCTGCAACTTGAAGTAGTAAGAGATACTCCTAAAAACTGGTATAAAACCAAATTTTCCTTCTCTGCAAGGTGCTGGTCTGACATAATTACTGAATTTCTCCAAAAAATACCTATTTAGACCAGCAAAAACCAGCTTTCGTGATGGTGAGTGCTGGTTTGGTGCTGGTAGTTTTCTTCAATGTCTATAAACAGCAACTCTTGGCAAATGTTAACAACACTAGGCTCCTTTTTTGGTCCAGATCTATTAATTCATTTATTTAAAAAAATTAATTAATATTATATGAATACAATTTCTATAAAGAGCATTTTTTAGAATTTTTGAATTAATGATACTTAAGTCAAAAATGCATTACAAAAAAAAACATTTTCTAATAATATATATTCACTGCTTATTAATATTTTTAAAAATTTTGATGCAACTCTACAAAAACATTTATTAATTCAAAATAAATAAAAATATATTTAACTTGAAAATCACATTAAATAACTTTTTATTGATGAATGATGAAAATGTGTACACTTACACCACATGACATTTTAAGAGTTATTAAATGTAAACTTTTCCTAAAAATGGTATTGTATAAGTTTTTCAAACCCATATAAAACCAATAAAATTACAAAGACCACATTTCTTTGTATTTATGGATTTTCTTTTAAATTTTAACAATAAAAAAAAAAATTCCTTCCCTTTATCACACACTCTTATTTATCGCTGGCCTGTTTGCAGACAAAAACATCTGGTAGATTGTTTGAACACACAATTCATAATAAAAGACAAAGAAAAACAAAAGGCAAAAGAAATCCAACCTTTGAACTTATGATAGCAATCAGCTAATGCAATGGTGGGAGGTTTCGTGTTTTGTGTCTCCTTGTTAACTCTTGCATCCCATTGTATGTTAACTCTTCAGTTTCTCGTCTACATCTCCTCATTCAAGTTTAACATCTCCAAAAAAAATATGTAGATGTCTGCCGTGGTTAACAGGATATGAGATCACATACTTCCAATCTAAATATTTGTCATGTCTGTAATAAATTTGCAGAAATATTTACCCACCCTGTCCCACATCACCCACACTTGAGTGGGTTACAAGTTTGGCAAGAAATATTTGAGACTTTACAAGCCTCCGTTGTGAGTAAAATTAACATATTCAGCAGTCTGGGAGCGTTTATCATGGTTACAGACTAAAGGCGTGGACTTTGGACAGCTCATCAGAGCTATGGAGGCTTGTGGGAAAACTATAAACCAACATATCCTGTAATTGCCATTGAACTTTGAGTGACTGAGGAGTGATGATACATTCTGATACATATCACAGTCTGGAATGCATGTGGCGGTTCAACGTGCCGCATTTGTGCAATGAATTCACTTCCCATTTCATCAGGCTACTTGTAGTAATTTAGTATTGTCATACTAAGGGATAGTTCACAAAAAATAGAAGAAGAAAGAACATTCTGTAATCATTTACTCAACATCACGTCATTCCAAACCAGTAGTGATGAACCAAAATGAATATTTTTACCAAGACATTAAACCAAAATTAGTTGGGGTAATTAAATTTGTGCAGTTGGGTAATTGAACGCTTTATGCTTTTCAGGGTGTCGTCTTTTCTGGTGATAAAGCAGTTGTAGTGAATAGTGGCAGCTCGTCGGGGGAGGCAGGGGAGGCAGAGCTTCCCCATAATTTTGAGGTGAAAATGGGAGGAGGACGATTTAATGTTAATAAAATTCACAATTCATTTCAGTTCATGTCTCAGAATGTGTATTTTTTGTTTGTAATTTCACAGTTGTAATACCATAACGTGAAAGCGCCGCTTTTCTATCGGGAATGTGCCGAATCTGCCGATGTAATTACAACCGCTAATGATAGAGAAGGGTAGGGGGAGGCCGGGGGAGAGCTGAGCTCTCGTGCCTCCGTTGGTAAAAAAAATTAGCCAATCACCATCGAGTGTTCACCTTCAGTCAATTAGTGTGCCTCCTCTATTTTAAAACCCACGAGCCGCCACTGGTAGTGAATGTGTTCGGAAACGAGGTGCCTTTCAATATTTCAGTCGAACAAATTTAGCATACAGCTGAGCTACTCAAGCATAATTCTTGGTAATGGGGAAGAGCGCCCACACAGCTGACATGGTTTCTTGTTTTAGGTTATCCACATTGTTTACATGAAATAGAAACTAGGGATGTAATGATTAACCGCGAGCCGGTTGAAAATCGATTCAAAGTTATATTTCAATTTCACAAAGAAACATGCAGCATTTTGTCCAAGTAATAATAAAAGGACACATTTATTTACAATTTGTCTTAAACCTCATTTAGAAAAAAAAAATAAAATAATAGTAATTGTGAATCGAATCGAATCGTGAAATCAAAATCGTGAATCGAATCGTGAGTTGAGTGAATCGTTACATCCCTAATAGAAGCTGAAACAGTCAAAACACATCATTAAAAACGCTTGAAATAAATATTACTGTTTCGGTCAAAATGCATATCGGTTAGTCAGCTGAAACCGCCAAAAAGTTTTTTCGAATGCAGAAATTTCAGTGCATCAATACAAACCGGTATGATTGAAATGGCAAAAAACTATGGATTTTTGGCTTTGGCTTAAATAGATTTGTTGGGACTTCATAGTCATGCACCGAAATTTCTGCAACTGAAAAAGTCCCACCACAAAATTCATACATTTTGGCCATTTCTGCCAAGTATTTTCCATTGCCAATATTTCACTGCATAACTACAAATCGTTATGCACTTTGTTCTTCTGTGGAACACATAAGACATTTTGATGAACGCTTTAACCGTTTTTGACCATAAAATGAAAGTCAATGGGGTCCAAATCCACAACAGACCTTAATGAAGTTACTGTAGATGCCATATTGAATTTAACGAGAAAATGAGGCTGTGAGGGAATGACTACAGTCTTTACAGTAGCACACACTGCACTGCTTTTTTATTTGGAAAGACGTTTCAGCAGCTGAACAAAATGTAAAAAAAATTCAATATGCCTATGTCCTGACTAAGGACTCCATTGACTTTCAAAATATCTTCTTTTGCGTTCCAAAGAAGAAAGAAGGTCACACAGGTCTGGAACAACATGAGCATTTTCATTTTTAGGTGAACTATCCCTTTCGCAAGACCATATCTAAAGGAGCATCTCCAGAACTTACCAAGTACGGTCATCACAGTTTTTATGAGCTTGACTGGCGTCCTCTTTCGATTAATAGATCCAGAAGTGTGTTCCTTCAGGACAACAGTCTTTCTCATCACATAGATGTATATCCTCAAGTATACGCCCACCATTATGAGGAAGAGCACCAGGTTGGACAGAGACCAGAAGATCAGGTAGCTCCGGCTAAAGATGGGTGCCAATTTGGAGCACAGGTCCAGACTGCAGATACAGTTCCAGCCCAAACTAGGAACGGCCCCCATAAATATCGAAATACCCCACACAAGGGCAATCAACAGAGTCACCCGACGTTTGGTGAGGTTACTGTGAACCTTCCAGTTCATGATGGAGATGTAGCGCTCGAGGGCGATCACCAGGAGGTTGGTCAGGGATGCGGAGAGACTCGCGTCCAGCAAACCCTGCCGAAAGAAGTAGCCTTGAACGGTGAGATCGCGAGATATTTTCCCTGTATTGAACATGAGATACACGTAAGCGATCCCGGCGAGAAAGTCTGAGGCGGCGAGGTTGGCGAGGAGATAGTAGAAGGGGTAGTGAAACCTCCTGTTTGTCACCACCGCCGCGATGATCATGGCGTTGGCCACTAGGATGAAACAACAGCAGATGGATCCAGCGACCTGAACCAGGATGAGCTGCGTTTGGTCCCATTCATCTGAGGTTATGTTGCTGTTGTTGTAGAAAAAGCCCATGGGCTTACCATGGTAGCAAACGTTATACCTGGCCATCTTTGGACAAAAACCACTATGAATGGAAGGAAAACAACAAATAAGTATATTGTCTGGGACTATAAAGCTTAATTTATTAGTCATTCATGGGAAAACCCATAATTACAAAAGACAAAACGCCACCAGAATTGCAATAAACTAAACAACAAAGAATCCAACATAAACACTCAAACATACATGATTGAAAATTGATTGATAGACTAACTTTTTTAATAAAATCCAAATAAATGTTATAATAATTGCCCTTTCTGCATTATTTCACCACAAGAATATCTGTATTGCATTATTATATACACTATAAAATTAGGTAAAATAGTTTATGTTTTTCACATCTAAAAACATTTTTTGCAGTGTTTTAAAATAAACTTACATGTTTTTTTTAAAGTATAACATTTTTACTTCAGTTTGTACTGTAGCATTTGTACATTTTTAAACCGTTTATCCCAGGTTTCATTGCCATTTTAATTACACTTTGTCTTCACTAGTTGGTTTTTAAGCTGTAGTGTATAGTCAAATTAGTATAAGCCCAAATGCTGTTTCAGATTGTTTTACATGCATGTTACACCGCAGGGTACAATCAAAACAAACCAAATCAATCAAAATCCCACGTGAATTCAAGTTCTGGCGCTATCGTCTGCTCCTTAAAAACACAACCAAATGTATGAAACTCGTCCAGTAACGTGCAGTGATATATACAGCTCTCTTACCAGTGTTCAGACCCGTCAGGTTCTCAGTTCACTCTCCATGAGTAGTCCGAAGTATCGCGCAGATCTGGCGTGACTCCACAAACGCAAGGCGACTCTGAGTGAAGTTTCTGCAGAGAAGTTTGTTCTTGAGAGTTTTAGGGAGGAGAGTGGGCGTGTCAGACTGTCAGTGTGGGCGTGGTCAGCGCACACCGCCCGCAAATATGCTGCCGCTTTCGTAAAAAGTAAATAAAAACGTAACGCTATGAAGTTTTTCGAAAAGGAAATAACGCTAAACTTGCGTTTCATCTCAGCACGAGCCGAAGACCTCAAGTGTTTAAATAAAAAAAGTTTACTAGTTTAAGGTTTAAACGAATTCCAGATTGTGTCACTGCATAGACAAATGACGCGTTTATGAGGCGCTTTTTCTCTGTCAGCGTCTATTTCGTAAAGTTACGCAATTTTACTCAATTGTGTGAGGTAAAGGAGGATCCACAACATTGAACATCATCAAATATGAAGATTTGGGTCATGAAAGTATAGGCACCTCAATATCTTAGTGAACATTTAATATTTAAGCAGTCATAATGAGGATAACACGAAAATAAGCATTTTCCAATGTATTGAGGGTATGGAGATTGATCGAAATGCTATTTATAGGAGAAACAAGCCATATTCATAAAGAGATTTGTTTTACTTTTGGCGCCGTTGCTCTGCATGTCATCATTGCGATTGTAAACATAAGCCTATGTAAATATTTGACGTTCTGAATGAGCTTAGTTTCACTGAATAGGAAGTACAATAAAATAAAATAAATACATAGGCCTAATTAAAAACATAATAGAAGTAATGAGTGTCAGAGCAGGTAAATTACAGATTTTGTGTCTGGTTTGGGATTGAGTTTCATTTCTTATAGAAAAAAGAACTGAAACCATCATTCTAAAAACTAAGCATCTGGTTTAATTGGTTTTTGAGGTCAAGAAAGCACCTTTTGCTAAACTCTCTCTTTTAACAACCCATCTAATTTTACTACTTTGAATAACAAAGCTTTAACCCAAACACCCGCCCGCTCGCCCAAAAAAGAAAATCACGCACACAAAAGGCGTCTTTAGTTTGCAAATACGAAATCTTTTTGATTATCTTTCATTCCCGCACCCAAGGTCTTTCTCCCAGTGAGCAATTGCTTACTAAACAAGTCACGTAGGAACTTGTCTGCCTTCCCTGTTAATTGTGGGATGAGGATGATGATAATGAGCCGTGATTCACATCATAAAGTATGATCATCTCCACCAAGACAAAAGTTACCTTAGCTGAGTGAACAATGCATTCTTACAACTCCGGTGTTGCACATACACATTACAATCATTCCTTAGACACTTCACATATTTGAAGCACAATATCAAGAGACTTTATCTTTGAAATATTTCTAAACACCTTTGACGTAACACACCAAAGGGCTGATATAAAAATCAGCACAAATGTGTAATTTAATGTGACTTCTCTAATGTAAAACATGAGCAGACAATCCAGACGGCACATAAATAATATCATAAAAGATATTTCCTCTACTATACAACATTAGACAGGGATTATTTTACAGATTGCACATCAGAATGCATCAAACATCTTCTGCGGTTGCCATTTGACCCACAAAACACTTCATTTTTTGCTCTTAATTGCATTGTAGTGCACTTTGGAAGATATGATTTGGCATTTATCCGTCTGCTAATGCAGGTCTTACCAGTTCCTAATGAAATTGGCATGTTCACAGGAAGATCTTGCTTCTTGAACCATGTACATAGAGTGGTAAACATGTTCACACAAACTTTCTCTTATTAAGCTGCAAGTCCATTGCAGTTTTCAGTAGATTCAACTTTGAATCAGTCGTAACGGTCAACTGATGAGAATGATGGTGTCATCTTTGGGAACCCTGCAAAAAGGACACAAATTTGGTATATTGTGAGTTACCGGTTCATATATTTGAACATAGATGATCTGAAACAGTTTCTGCCATCTTTGAACCAACTTACAGTACAATTGTGAATTCTGATGGGTTTTCAGTGCAGATTTTGGTTGCACAGCTTTCAACCTTTATATAAATGTGTTTGGTCGCAGTTTCCAAAGGAAGTGAAACTAAAGATTCCTAAAGAAACTCGTTTTTTTTAGTCCTGAAAACTTTGCAGGTTAGTTTCATGTCAAATTAGGTAAATTCCTTAAAACAAACTATCCCTGTAACTCTTTTTGTAAAGAAAAATTTGGTTAGATCAATCATTCATATTTTATAGTTTGGGGTAAGTTAAAATAAATAAAGAAATAAAGGAATTAATATTTTTATATTAAATTGATCAAAAGTGACAGTAAACATTTTACATGTGTTACAAAAAATTACATTGAAAGTATATTATTAACATAGAAAAGGTTTTAAATTGTAATAATATTTTACTTTTTTTTTTATTCTAGGCCTATTTTTGATAATATAAATGCAGCCTGGGTGAACATATACTTCCTTCAAAAACAAACAAACAAACAAATAAATAAATACCAAATTGAAATGTGGTCTATTTTAACAACAAATGTGAAATTTTTAATTTATAATACATATATAATTTATATTTAAACATGTATTATTTATAATTTTTAAAGAACAATTTTGACCATTTATAATAGGGGTGATAAAAGATGCCAATATAGACAGAATCACTCAGCCAACCAGGCAGGAATAACAAGTTTTACTCTCTTCCAGATGAAAAGATAATGAAGTATAATTCTGGCCCTAGCTTGTAGAGCAGGAACACCAGTTCTAATCTGAAGAGATGATGGAAGATTCTCATAAAACCCAATTTCATCCCAAAGTACTGTAATATCCACGCTGAAATCTAATCAGTGCAGCATAAGTGGCTTTTAACCTGATATTTAGACACAGCATCAAATTACAGCCGGGCTTTCCCTCGCATCTGACACTCAAGCAAACAATGAGTCCTCCTTTCAGAGTTCAGTTTCACGTTTTCTCGCATTGCAACCCAAAACAGCTAGAAATTTACAAGACAAAAAGCTCTGGCAATATTCCCCAGAGGGAAAAAAAAAAAGCTCTGAACAATAATGGACATCATTATGGGGGCAACTTTTTCTTTTCTAAACTGTCGTTTGTTTACCATTCCTGCAAGGCAAGGGGAAGCCTTCTCCATTTTTTTCTCACAGAGAACATTTCTCTGTAATCAGCACTTTGCTGGGTGTGTCCATCTTTCTCTCCCACCACTAATTCCATTTCTCATGCCATAGTGGGCTGACCTCAGCTCTGGAGGAAACACTGCTGCCCTGCAGCTGATGTCTGTGATTATATACTGTACCTTTTGCAGCAACACAGCATAACAGAAGGGTGGACGGTCTCGGCTTCGCCACACTCTGTGTCGACCCCCTCCTGCCCCCGGAGGGGGAAACCCTCCTTCTGCCCCATCAGAAACCGCTGGAGCTCTGTCATGGGGAAACCTGTTGTTTGGTAACCCTAGACAAAATGGAGAAGTTGATATGAAACGCTACAAACGAGTGTAGTGCAGCTTTAATAGTGCTGAATTCTATTCAATCTACAAGGAAAGTTCATACAGCAATGAAAATGATGCCACCATTTACTCACTCTGAAGTTGTCCCGACTCAGATTTAAATTAATAAAATAAATAAAATAATCAAAGCAAAAACGAAGAAAAAAACAAAACGAAACAAAATCCAAACAAAAAAAAACCAACCAAACAAAAAAACAGAATGAAACAAAACTAAAACCCCAAACAAAAAACAACCCCCTTCCAAAAAAAAAAAAAACACAAAACAAACAAACCAAACAAAATGAAAAAAAAATAAAAATACTTTCCCTTTCCTCTGATCTGATGTTTTGTCTAAGATTTAGTTTTTTTGCCTTAGAAAGAAAATAAAAAGGGTTTGGAAAGAAATGAGTAATGACAGTTTTCATTTTTGTGTAAACTAACCTATGAAGACAATAAAAAAATAATAATTTAATGAATAAAAATACATAGAATATTTACATGTATAACGCGTTATATAAGCCTTAAAGAGAAGCCAGTTTTTTTGTTGTTTTTTTGCATAAGAAAATAAAATGAGGTTGGAAAGACATGAGTAAATGATGACAGTTTCATTTCTGTGTGAACTAATCTATTAAGAGAATAAATAGGGATATTTTTCACAGTCATAGACACTCATTCAATCTACTATTATATCACTAATAAGGCCTCTAAATTCAAAAATAACTAAATGCATTTATTATATTACCATTGGTCTTTTTGCCTTTTTTATTCTTTTTTTATTTTTTATTATTTGGATAGTCAAAAGTGGCTAGGAAATAACAGGATGAAAAAAGGTAACAGGATTGAGAAATGTGTTGGAACATGTGCGCTAACCACTAAACCATGGAGAAATTCTAGTACTAACTAGTCACTGTGTGTTAAGCATGTTAAGCTGATGGTACCTTGATGGTCACATATTGTTGTTATTATTATAGCAGTTTTTAGATTATATTTTTAGAACATTTTAGATTAAATATGTTTAACATTTTAGATACAACATACATATATATATATACATTAGAAAACTAAAATTATGGTTTATTTAATATAATCACAGTAGGTTAAGCTGAGAGTACCTTGATGGTCTCGTAAGCATCTGTGATGAGGGCGATGAAGAGACTGAGCACCATGTAGATGAAGAGCGAGATGAACGAGTAGAGATAAGCTCGGCTGAACAGCCACACCATTGTGTTCTTTTGCTCAATCTCTGCAAATGTAGGGAACATGTCGTCCCCGTTGACTAGAGAGAAGAGGCACTCTGCCACACGACTCAGACCTTCAAACTGACCCGCATACAGATGGTAAATGCATGGGAGAAGACATGTGGACAAAATGTGCATGAGACCAGTGTGACATACTGACATTTGGCAGTAGAAAAAATACCTTATTTATTATATATATATACATTAGAAAACTAAAATTATGGTTTAATATTTTAATATAAAAGTTATATTATATTATATTATATTAAATTTGGTCAATAGATGGCTCTTTAAATATAAGTCAACATATACTGCCATCTACTGTACATAAGAAAGACTACACATCTCAAAACCACAAAGTTTTTTACAGTACATCCATACTTCACTAGTATACAATACAAACTACAAACATTTATGGAGTGGGTTTGTTTGTTTATTTATTTATTTATTTACCTTCTCATGGTAGGGTCCAAGAACAATCCATCCACAGAAGGTGTAGCCAAGGTAGATCATTCCTGCGCAGCAGCAGAAGCGCAAGACCTTTGGTAAGGCTGCTCGCATAGTGAGGATAAGCACCTGTGTTGTCATAAAATTATTTTAGGGCCTTAATAAATGATTGGTCTTAATATGACTAGTGGTCAATAAAACACATGTACTTCACCTTGGCAAACTTGCTATACATTTACCTTCATGCTCTTAATGGGATTTTGTGCAATTTGACTTACATTGTATTTTTCGAAGTATGCCAGATACCTTATGACGCCCACCCAGACCATTAGAGTTGATGTTCCCAGGAAGATGCTGCAGACATCATAGTTGGTCAGGCTCTGAGAGGAGAAAGGAACTTTATGAGCATTTTGAATGTAGGCCAAACTTGTGCTTCCATGCGAGTGCAAAGTAAACATTACATAAAATTGTTTAATTGCTGTGCCTTAAATCACAAGCTAGGCCACCCTAGTCTTTAGACTACTAAGTGTGTGTCTGTAAGAGGATTGCACAATGCCATGAAGAACTGCAGAATCTGTGCAGCTCTTAAAAAGAATATGAACTGTTTTTTTCCAATTAACTTTTGAAACTAAAATCAAATTATGCATGCAATCTGAGCACATTTTACTCCCAATTTAAATTACCTTACAAAAACAATTTAAATAAATAAAATAAAAACGCTTATATAATTAATACATGACAAGAATCAATTTAATTTTATAGTCTCTTCATTTCCAACTAACTTTATAAACTTATATAAAATTATTTTCAAGATAATTAAGCACATTTCACACCAAATTTAGATTACCTTGCCAAAAAAATCATTTACATAAACAAAATAAAAAATACTAACACAATAAATAAGTACATAACATTTCTTTAAAAAAAAAATGTATTTCCTACTAACTTTAGAAACTCAACTCGAAAGATTTTCATTAACATTAAGAACATTCTCGCTCCAAAGTTAGATTACCTTACCAAAAAATCAGCTAAATGAACAAAATAAAAACACTTAATTAATAAATACATAACAATACAAATATTGAAATGTATAAAGTGTTCGTTTCCACCTATCTTCAGAAACTCAAATCTGATGATTTTAATAAAAACTAAGCACATTTCCCCTCTAATTAAGTACATTCGATTATCTTACCAAAAATAAGTAAAAAATAAGTACAAGATTATAATAAGTGCAAATTAATAAATTAATGATTTTATTAAAAATTCTATATTTCCCCCAAAATATAAAATGATATTCAATAAAAAGCACAATTTCCCCAAAAGATTAATGATCAAAAATATTTTTATATTTTTATACTAATATTTCATGAAAATTAAGTATATTTTCCTTCCAAATATAAATTACTTCACAATAAATAATTTAAAACCATAAACAAAATTTAAATATGAATATGATAAATACATAAAAATAAAAAAATATATTTAAACTATAAAGTGTTTAATATAAGCTATTAATATAATATGTTGAATTACATTTAAATAAACTGTATTACAAATAACGAGAATCAACATTATATTGGGAAATTAAGAAAAAAAAAAATCTTTTGAATATTTTTATGGGTGGGAGTGATTTCTCCCATAGGCCAACTAATAACATGCAATATAATCAGCATTTTTTTTATTTATTTGGGGAACTACAACTTCCTCTGCAATTTTTCAGATCGTGTAAATATCAAATGAATCAGCAAAAATGTTTTCTTAAAAAGTAAAAGCACCTTAGCTTGTATTTCCATTTTTAGTATCGATCCAATGATGGCCATAACATCACTGATGATCACCAAGATGTACCAGCCATTCAAGAACTCCCTCTGATCATCTTCACACACTTTCTGATTAGAATTCTCAAGACAGAAGCTAGAAAACCGCTGCAGAGAGAGGAAGTGGCACATGAAGGAAACACTGACCGGGCACAAAATGATCAGAACGGCATGAGTTCACACTGAGTCACTATGACAGAACATCAAAAATAACTGATGTCGATTATAAAAAATGTTAACGTATCTGTAATATTGACAGGCTTCAATGCAGCTAGGTTTACCTGAAGTAACCTCACAGCGAGTATAATAGAACGTGTGCAGAGCACTGCAGAGCTCAGACAGACTATAATAACAAAGCCATCAAAGATCAGGAGGTACTGAGTGCTTTTCTGAGCTGAAAAAGACAATAACAAACCATAAAAATCCACATGGCTATGCCATAACATTAAAAACGTATTTCAAGTAATCATAGACCATAAGCATTTATTGTAGTTGATGATTTTTCACATACCAGTTCCTGAAATCTTCCAGTTTTTGCACACACTACTAACCGCATCGAAATCAATGGTTAATTTCACCTTCCCGCTATGACAACTGTTATCAAAGACAATCTGCAAAGAATTCAATTGGATTTATTCAAGTAATTCAAGCTAAACTGGGTATAAATGGATTATTATCCCTGAAACTGGACCTTACCTTCACAAAAAATGTGTAACAGTCTGGCAGCTCATGAGAACGAACAGTTTGCAAGTTGATTCCTTTGAGCGCGAAAGTGATCTCAATATCGACAAGCCTGTATTTCAAACAAAACCATAATTGAAACCATTAATTAAGAGTATTGTTTAAGTGTTTCGGTTATATAGTTAAGGCTCACAAACCTATAAAAGTCCAACTCAAAAAATGAAGCATTGTTCATTCTCCATGTTTTCGAGGACTCTGGATCAAGAGTTAAGCAATCTGGAAAAGACAAAAATGTACAGTTTATGCACTGCCTTATGGTTCATACTAGATGTGGATTTTCTGAAAAATGTGTAACCTGTTTCAAGCTCTGCATCAATATCATACGGTTCCTCAGACGGTTCAACGCTGCCTCTTTTGTAGCTCTTCTTACAGATGATCAAGGGCAGAAACTCTCCATTCTCTTCAGCATAACTAGCAGGACCTACAGACAGGTTTCCTAACTGGGAATACTGTTGAACAGATAGATAAATATTATATTAAGCAAGTTTTAACTTTTTATTTCCTCACATAAAGAAAAGAGTAGCACTTTTGATAAATACGTTCATAATTGCATCCACTCACATTAGATAAAACCGCTTTAGTTTACACGGAGAGGGTCGCCTCATGGGGGCAGACATTTTGAAATCACATGACCAGCTAAATATTATTTGCTTTATCAGAATAATCTTCCTATTAACAGGCATTTTCTCTCACACAAAAAGAATCACAGCAGACTGATTTGATTCTGCTTGACAAAGACGACTGAAACCTTTTGATTTCACGCGATGCTTCATCCACACCACTAGGTGTCAGTATAAGACCAACAGAATTGCATGCAACATAATTAACGCTAAAGTAGCGGAAGAGAAAACGTTTTGGAGAACAAAAAGCAAGATAAATGAAAAACAAATACAAACCTGATCTATCACATAGTGTAAACTATCATACACACTCTGTTTGGTGTAGACAGAAATACTGTAGTCATCCTCGTCCACACCACTGTAGCCCTTCAGAAACAAATTCTTAAAGGCCATCAGGTTCTCCTCTTTGTAGGACACCACAAGCTGGTTATTTAGTCCAAACAGTATGAGCTTTGAAAAAAATAGAGGAGGAGATGTTTTCAGTATGGCTGGAGGCTTTAAGCCTACTGTAGCTTTTAGAAAATTCAATTATGTTAATGATCATTTACAAAAACAAAAATACCATGTTTAGTGGCAAATCCTCCAATATGTCAGAAAAAGATTACATTTAAAGCTGAAGAGTGTTATTTCTGCACAAATAGCATCAATACAATATATAATCAATATAATATAAGCTGGGATACAAAAGTATTTAACAAAAATCAAACCACAATTGCACATTTCAGCTTTCAGCAAACTGGTAGCCCAATAAATACCTGGAGTGTAATCATGAATATTTTAAAAATTTGCACTGCTAATTTCCATGGTAACTGTCGCCGGGTTCTGTACTTCTCACAAGGGTTCATGAAGTAAAACCGCAAGTCATCTCTCAGTATCTCCTCTGTCATGGGATCAGTGGCCATGGATGTGGAGACACTGTATCAAAATATTAAATAAATGATTCTGATTGAATTTTGAATTCATCAGAAAACATAAAAACCATGAAAAAAATTAAATAGATGGTTGGTAGGTTAAGGAAAAAGCAATCAACACGTGTACAGAATACTTGGG